TTGTAAATATTTCTTATAAGATATAGTCAATGTTTTTTAAGCCCTTTGAAGAGCGATTATCACTTGAAAGCTAGCGTTTTGTAATAAAAAGAAACTCATTGTGAGGGAATATTTTGTAATTTTAAAATTTATAATGGAAAGAATAAGCTAAAATATCATGATGCAGCACTTCCCCGCCTTCAAGATGTTGTCACGTCCTCGTGCATTTAATTATCAATTCTTTTATAATAAGGTTTGAGTCTTGAAATGTGAACTATCAACGAGTCTTTGCCTGGATTATCTTTCGGTTTTATTAGGTAATTGACGTTAGACATCTTTTATATTATATATGGTACAAAATATATTTTTCTCAATAATTGAGGAATGTCTATTTTTCGGTTGATGCTGTTTTTATCTTCTATTGAGGTCCAGCTTTCTAGAAAAAGTATTGAATGTTTGTTCTTGGTATTTTGATATACTGTTTCAGTTGAGTCAAAATTTGGTAGGTGGTCCTGTTTCAGTGCGTGGTCTACAGTTGGTGTCCAAACTGCTACTAGTTGTTCTGGTTCATATATTTTTATCATTGTGTTTCTTGTTATAGTTCTTTTCATTCTTTCTTGGGCCTTTGCTGTGTTGTGAACGACTACTTTTCTTGTCCTACTTATTTTATCTAAGTATTCTTTAATTTTCAATATTTCAGGAGATTGTGAATTTCGACAAATTGCAAAAAGGTATAAGAACTCCGCCGAATTATATAAACTCCGTCTTTGCCGGTCCCAAGCCTGGATAAAAAAGGAGGAGGGGGAGCAGTAACAAGCTCACTAAAAAACCTGGGCTCAGCTGGCCCTGTAAGGGCTCCTGATCCAGGGATACAGGATGAGCAGAGTTTTTATTCCATGTTAGGAGCGGCTGCACATGGCGTCCGTTCCTCATTGTTTCCTCAACAAGAGCCACATTTTGTTCTGTTGTGACAATTGAAGGTTTACCTGGCCTCTCTTTGTCATGAAGATCAAAATCACCTTTCTGGAAGCGCTGAACCCATCTCTGTATAGTGCTTCTATCCAATGTTACCATATACTGGCTGAAGTTTTGAGTGAATTGTTGTGGCTTAAATGTCACCGGACTTATCTGCAATCAGAATTGGTTTATCTTTTGTATTTCTTCAGATATGGAGCCTAATGTGAACACAAGAATCCGACAACGGTGACCGAGTTCCTCTTTAAGTCCGGTGACATTTCAGCCACAACAATTCACTCAAAACTTCAGCCAGTATATGAAAACATTGGATAGAAACACTATACAGAGATGGGTTCAGCGCTTCCAGAAAGGTGATTTTGATCTTCATGACAAAGAGAGGTCAGGTAAACCTTCAACTGTCACAACAGACCAAAATTTGACTCTTGTTGAGAAATTGTCAAGAATAACTGGACAATAACGACATATCAATTGATGAAACAACTTTCAATCTCTAAAAAAAGTGTTCTTAAACTACTTTCATATCTTGCCTATTGAAAATTGTGCTCGAAATGGGTGCTAAGACTTCTAACACAAGAAATAATACAAACTCGGAAAGAAATTTGTTTAGACCTCATCGAATCTTACCCAGGACCAGCTTCTGAAGACTTTAAAGGAGTCATAACGTGTGGTGAGACTTGGGTTTATCATTATGACCCTTCTTCAAAGCGTCAATCAATGCAATGGGGCCATATAATGTCTCCAGTCAAGAAAAAAAACAAGGCTTTCCCTTTCCGAAGACAAAATCGTGATCACGGTCTTTTGGGACCAAGATGGGCTCATATTAATAGACATGCTTGAAAAAAAATACTTCTATTAACAAGTAAATATATTGTAAATCATTAGAAAAGCTAAAAAGAGCCATTTCAACAAAAAGTCCGGGCCTAAAAGACTGTCTAATCAAATTTCATCAGGACAATGCAAGACCTCACACCGCGCCACAGATATTGGCTCAAATTTCCAAATATGGGTGGACTTTGATGCCTCACCCAGCTTACAGTCCTGACCTGGTTCCTCCCAACTTCTACCTGGTTGGTAAATTAAAGAATTCTCTACACGCGGTAGAACAATTGAAAATGATGAAATGTTACTCCATGAGGTTAGAGGATGGTTCAGAAAGCAAGATGTAGCATTTTATCAAAGTTCTTTTATGAGCTGGAAAGAACGCTAGACCAAATGTATACAGAGGAAAGGTGGATATACGCGTATGTTTAAGTATAATAAATGAAAACATTAAATCACGAATTCTACTGTACTAAAAGCTTATATTCATAGTTTGCTTTAATATAATTTCTAAGATTCCACCCTTCAGTATAGCATATAAAAGCAGAATGATCCAATACAGTATTAGATCTCTAAAGAAGCGGTCTGGTAGATTAAAAAAAAAAAAATTGGCGAAACCGCTGGGAGGGTTCACCACTGATGAGCCAGGCCATGAAAAATGTAATTTCACTGCCCTAATGCTTATGTCCATAGTTTGTTTAAATACCATTTCTAAGATTCCACTCTTCAGTGTAACATATATAAGCAGAATGATCCAATACAGTATTAGATCTCTAAGAAGCAGTCTGGTAGATTAAATTGACAAAATCGCTGGGAGGGTTCACCACTGATGAGCCAGGCCATCCCAACATTTTTCATAGTAGTAAGGACAGTAGAAGTTTGATTCATGTGTAAATTATTTCTTTATATTAAACTTCTACTGTCCTTACTGCGATTAAAAAACTCTACTGTTTTAAAACCTTATGTCCATAGTTTGTTTAAATACCATTTCTAAGATTCCACCCTTCAATATAGCATATATAAGCAGAATGATCCAATACAGTATTAGATCCCTAAGAAGCGGTCTGGTAGATAAAATTGACGAATCCACTAGGAGGGTTCTGTAAGAGAATCAGAGGCTGGATCTCAAAAGTATTGTTTAATTAACAATACTATTATTTTAAGATGACAAGGAACAAAAAGAGTCACAAAATGCAAGCGCAGTAGCAGGAAGAAAACCAAAACTTAAACTACAGGTATAGACAGTGTGGCGCCAGGTCACGTGATGTCTGGTAGGATGGTGTCGTTGCTAGGCAACAGCTGATGTGCGAAGTTACTCTCCAACAGGTCCACCACTAATGAGCCAAGCCCTCCCAACATTTTTCATCGCAGTAAGGACAGTAGAAGTTTTACTTTATATGTAAAAGAAACTTTCGTGTTTTAATGTTTTCGTTCTCATATAAAAGATGGCGTGTTATTGTCTTTTAATTAACTTCTAGGTATAGATCCATTCGGTTTATTTTCTAAATACACTGCGTGACATTGAAAATGGAACACCAAGAAATAGTGGCCAGAATATTATGCAAATTTCAGGGTAGACGCGCCTAACCGAGTTATGCAAATGATGTAAAATGCGCAGCTCTCGTGCGCACATGGAGTAAGATATAAGGGAAGGAACTTGCAGAAAGGACAGTATTCGTGTCGTTATTTCTTCAAGGAAAATCATTGTAGAAATTTTGTTCTTGTGTCAAAAGACACGTGTAATAACAGAGAATGCCAGGTCATCGTAAACGGAGGCAGTTCAAGCAGACAGACGCTTTTACGAGGGGCATGGTGATCGGACTGAAAAGGGCAGGTTGGTCCATACGTCAAATCGCAGCTGATACACACCTTGGTGCGTCCACGGTGCACCGACTGTGGAGAAGATGGTAGGAACAAGGAAATGTGGCAATTTATAGGAATGTCGGCGGTGCAACCAGAGTGACGTCAGCACGTGTGGATCGGCGTATCCTTCGACAAGCAGTGGCGGCCCCAGAAGCCACTTGTACCGCCATCCTGCAACATGTGCAAGACACCCTAGATCATTCCATCTCGACCAGAACCATTTCCCGTCGATTGGTTGCTAATGGCTTGCACTCATGCCGTCCGCTAAGAAGACTGCCATTGACCCCACCGAATAGGCGCCAACGTTTGGAATGGTGCCGGGCTAGATCGACGTGGATGACGGAATGGCACAGGGTCGTGTTCTCAGATGAGTCGCGTTTCTGCTTGTCCAGTGATAGTCGCCGTGTACGCGTGTGGCGTCGACGTGGAGAAAGGTCCAATCCGGCAGCAATTGTGGAACGCCCCACCGTGCGACAACGTGGAATCATGGTTTGGGGCGCAATCGCGTATGATTCCAGGTCACCTTTACTTCGTATTCAGGGCACTATGACGGCCCAACGATACGTTGATGATGTGCTGCGACCGGTGACACTCCCCTACCTTCAGGGGGTACCCAATGCCCTTTATCAGCAGGATAACGCCCGACCGCACACTGCTCGCATTAGCCAACAAGCTCTGCAAGATGTACAGATGCTTCCCTGGCCACCGTACTCTCCTGATCTCTCACCAATCGAGCACGTCTGGGACATCATTGGACGCCGTTTGCATGCCTTGCCACAGCCGCGTTCAGAAGACGAACTGTGGCAAATGGTTGAGAGGGAATGGAGAGCCATCCCTCAGGGCGCCATCCGTACTCTGATTGACTCTCTACCTAGACGTGTTGCTGCGTGCATCGCCGTCCGCGGTGGTCCTACTTGCTACTAAGCCGACGCCGTTCTCGCTCTGTATTATGACTATCATTTTGAAATAAAGATCACTTATTGTTTGTCCCTGTCTCTCTCTGTCTGCCGAGTTTCATCACTTTCTGGCCACTATTTCTTGGTGTTCCATTTTCAATGTCACGCAGTGTATATGACATACGCATTGGCAAAGAATAATTAAGCTTTGTAAAGAAATAGAAATAAAAGAAACTCAATGCGAAAGGTTGTATTTTTATTTTTATAATTTGTAGCGCATTTATTTCGTTCACTTCAATTAAGCTTTGATTGTAAAACGACATTTGAAATACTATCCCGCATGTGTTTCTTTTCAACGAAAAATCAAATTTTATTCCAAGGAGAAACAACGACCATTTCCAACCCCTGGGATGAGGTATAAAAGGGTGAATTGTGAAGAGTAATGATAAACGGAAAAATAAAAGTGTCCAGGGATGGGAATCGAACCCAAACAGTGTTCCGCTTACCGGACAGATGCCATGTCCACTAGGCTACCCTGGACATATACTATGGGTTCGATTCCCATCCCTGGACACTTTTATTTTTCCGTTTATCATTACTCTTCACAATTCATCCTTTCATACTTCATCCCTAAGGTTGGAAATGGTCGTTATTTCTCCTTGGAATAAATTTTGATTTTTCGTTGAAAAGAAACACATGCGGGATAATTTTCAAATGTCGTTTTACAATCACAATCCGCATTATATTATATTGTATTATAAGCTTTGATTGTCTAAATAAAGTAGTCAAAAATCGAAAATATTTTAGACGCGTATGATTCTTTTTTAAAATAAACAATTTCTACTGTCCTTACTGCAAACTGGCGAAACCCCTGGGAGGGTTCACCACTGATGAGGGCCCTCCCATTATTTTTCCATTGCAGTAAGGGCAGTAGAAATTGTTAATTTAAAAAAAGAATCATACGTGTCTATAATAGTTTTAAATTTTGATAACAGATGGCGCGCTAATGCATCTTAAATAAATTATTAGTAATAATAAAATATCATTAAGTTTCCTATAATTTGATTTATTTTTATTATTTATTTTTAAAAATAAACTATAAGCCTCATCTTTTGACAGATCACGCACACAAGCGGACTCTGGTTTGTGACAAATCAATAATCAATAGATTTAAATCTCCTGAACATTAATTAAATAATTAAAAAGGTTTCTGGAGATGAGAGAATTAATTTTTCACATGTTAAGCGTATTTTAGTAAATTTAACCTTAAATACCCATTTCATTTATTTATTTATTATCATTTACAAAGCACGCGATATCCGTCTTGGATATTTGCATGCATACACAAGTTTGGGAGCTTATTTACAGTAATTATTAATAGGAAATTGGTTATTATAATAGAAATTATTAACATATTTGTCAGTTAGTTAACGATTTAATTACACTATAATGAATATTAGTGAACATCATGTAAGAACAGAAATTTAGAGCTATTTACAGCATATAACTATATTACAGCCCAGGCTATCTATTACTAAAAAACATTCTACAAAATCTATTAAAATTTATATACATATATCTATTATTAACTATTTGATTTAGACAATTTATATTTATTTGATTTTTGACTCTCAAGTCCTCTACAAGTCGACAGTCCGTTAAAATATGTACAGGATTTTCTTCTTCTGCACCACATGAGCATTTAGGTGAGTCCGTCTTTCTGACTTTGTACAAATATGGTCTAAAGTTACCGTGTCCAGTAAAAAATTGGACATTGTAAAAGTTTGGCTTGACATATTTGGGTATTTGGGAATCAGTGAAGAAGGACTTGAAAATGGTATTAGTCTTCTCATAGTATTTCTGCAATTTTTCCCTTATGTAATTGAAATTATATTCCTACTTGAAGAGTCAAATCGGTTGTAATTTATTTCGGTTTTCAACATGTTAGATTCAATATAATCAGTAAGTTTGGGGACTTGTGCAAGTATGTGTGTACAATCCGATGATGTTGTACTGTATGCCTGTATACAATGTTTTAAAATACTATATTGAAGAGAATTAAGTTTGTCTTTAGACTTTTTGTTTATGAATGGATACCATATTGGATAACCATAAGTAATTGTACTTCGATATAATGTCTTATACAATATCAGTCTTCGTCTAAAGTCCAGACCCCATGCTTTCTTTGTCAGGCCAAATAGGTATCCACTAGCTCTAGTTACCTTTATGATCATTTCATTAACATGAGGCGTAAAGTCCAGTTTGCTTCTGACTCGGTGATTTTTAATAGTTACTCCTAGAATCTTAAGTTCTTCAACCGGTTTAATTAACTTGCTACCTGAGACTATTATATCGCTATTGCATTTATATAAATATAATATTTTTGTTTTTTCATCTGACAATTTTAATTTACGACTTTCACACCACTTATTGATTTTTCTTAATACATTATCTATTGTCTTTCTTAGTTGTTCAGGAGTTTTATTCCAACATATTAACGTAATATCATCTGCATATCCTATTGTTTCACAATTATCATCCAGATTATTATTCAGTATCTCATTAATAAGAATATTCCATAATGTGGGAGACAGTGGTCCTCCCTGTGGACATCCTTTACTTAGTTTCTTATTAATTTCAGTTGAGGAATATCTTAATCTTATTCTTCTATTATCAAAGTATGATTGTAGAAGTTTTATCATTGAAGCCTGCACACCATCTTCATCTAGTCTTTTCATCAGGGCCGGCCACCATGCATTATCAAACGCTGCACTAATATCCACTGCAATTATTGCTGCATATTCTCTTGCTTTATGTTCTAACGCAATTTTTATTATTTCAGTTAGTGCAGTAATAGTAGATTTCGATCTTCTAAAGCCATGTTGTCGATCACTTAGTAAATTAAAATCTTCATAATATTTTATTATTCTGTTATTAATTATTTTTTCAAATATTTTAGAAATGTTGGAATTAAGACATAAAGGTCTATAATTTTTATAGTTATTAAAATCTGTTTTTCCAGGTTTCGGAATAATTATTGCCTCTGCTCTTTTCCATTCAGCAGGATAGTATTGTATGTCTAAACATTTTTGAAATAGTTTCACCAATATAGGAGCTATAAATTGTTTAGTGTGCCTTATCATGTTGTTAGAGATGTTGTCTATTCCGGGAGATTTCTTTGGATTTAGTTTGTCAATCAAGTCGTTGACTTCAGTAATCATAACCATCGGTTTTTCTTTATTGAGTAGTTTTAAATTATAATTTCTTATACTTTTATGGATGCTTGTATCTTCTTCACATTTATCATCTGGAAATAAGTTATTCAATAATTCCTCACCCTTCTGCAAACATTCCATATCAGTATTACCCCCCAAAATTTGCATATTTCTCTTCCGCTTAGATCCACTTTTGATGTTTTTGTACACCTTATATAAGTTTCCATAAGGGTTGTTCGATTTGTTTTCCTCCAGAAAATTTCTCCATGATGCTTTCCTAGCTTTTTCTATTTCCCGTAAATACTTATTTCGTATGCTTTTATAGTATTGTTTAATATGATCAGGGCAATTTTTGTTTCTATAGTAACAGTTTCTAAGGTAATGACAGTGATCCTTTAGAAGCTGTAAATTCGTATTCCACCACTTATTACTAATATTATTTTTTGTTGTCATATTATTATTTACTTTAAGTGAATTATGTGCTGCCTCAATCAGTATGTTCGTAAGTTCTTTTACCGTTTGATCAATCATTTCTGGTGTATCCACTATGTCTAGCAAGTTTTCAATTTTTTCTTGTTCAGTACTGTTAATTCTCTGACTAAAACTTAACCAGTTCGCATTTTTCTCATTAAATTTCCAAGTGGAATAATATTTTTCTGAACTAAATTGTTCGTTTGTATATATTTCAAAAGATATAGCTACATGATCTGAAATTTGCGATATCTGCTGTGTCTTCCAATTTCTGATCGCCGCAATTGCCTGTTTATTTGTTAGTGTGAGATCAATCACACTTGCATCACGACACGTGAAAGTTTTATTATTATGGATAATTAAGTTTATTTCATCTATGATAGGGATCAGTCTATGTCCATTATAATTTTTCCTAATATCATACCATAACGGAGCTCTGGCGTTGAAATCGCCGCAAATTATCACTGGTATATGTAAATTTGTATTAATTAACTTCTTCATAAATTCCTCGTGCTCACTTTTCATTGAATTCGGATGTATATAAATGTTGGAAAGATATATTTTCTTACTTTTTGTTTGTATGGTTATAGTTGTAGCGAATGAGTTAGTGAATTCTGTACTTAATTGAATTTTTAAGCTGCTATTTCTTACAATTATTGCCGTATTTATATTGGGACTGTTCATCAATTGATATTTTGTACAAGGTCCTGGAAATATTACCTCCTCTTTGATTATATAAGGTTCTTGAATCATTACTATATCTGCATTTCTAATTTCATCAGATGCACAAAGCTCATTTATGCAATTTTTGCTTTTTCTGGTATTTTGTTGAATAATTTTTATTTTGTCACTATATAGTTTTCGCCCCATCATTCTGAAAGTTTATTATTGGCCCGCATCTTCTATAATTGTAGAATAGTCTGTTCTTTGTATTATGATTTGCATCTCTTTTTTATAGATTGGGCAGTCTTGACTATTCGGTTTATGCTCCAAATCTCGATTTCTAAAATGTGGATGTTTGACGCAGTTGCAGCATTTAAATGTAGTCGAGCATTCGTGTTCTCCCTCTTTTTCACATTTAATACATTTTTTGGGATTGGGACAGTTATTCCTCTTATGATTAGGATTAAATAGAAAACAGTTCTGACATTGGTTCACTAATATTTTATCTTTAATATCGCATCGTTGAATATCCGTGTAAATTTTTCCCTTTCTCTTCATAATTTGGTAGACTCTAGGTGAAACCCTCAGCACTACATCTTGCTCTGGTCTATTGGTTTTCATTGGAAATAGCACTTTGATCTCTTCACTGAGTTGAGAAAGTTCAGGGTTCATCTCACATAACGTTGTCGATAAATTAGCTAAGTTTGTCATCTTGTTGACTGATTTTATGACTATGTTTGGATCTCTTAGTTTTGGCTTGTATATTTTACTGCACTGGTTTAGATCATCTTGCTTAGTAAAACTTTCTATCATTCGATCTATATCTTGATCTTTAGGCAATTTTATTACTGTACCTTTCCTAGTATTAAATACCTTGTTGATCCTAATTTTATTTCCCTCCTGTCGTAAAATTTTTATACTATCATTCACCTTTTGTTGTACCTGTGAGATGTTTTGATTTTCATTGGCAGTTATTATGATAGTTTGTTCCTCAGTAATTTGCTTTTCTTTTTGAATAAATTTATCTTCCCCATATTTTACCACCTCTGCATACGAGTCCTTGTTTCTGCTCTGTTTTACTATTTGGGATAAATCGTTTCTAATGTCGGTATAATTTTTCTGCATACATTCCCCAATTCCATTTAAACTCTGTTCTAGTTTCACTAATTCTATTACACTATCCTTTAGCTG